AGAACAAATTAAGTTCATAACTAGAGGTACCACTGTAATCTAAATCCACCCAGGTGGGCAGCCCCCACCTCCCTCCCATAAAGACCCAATGCAATAGATGGGTTTTCAGTTGGCTCTGGTAAAATTGTCCTTTGGTGGCAATTGCATTTCAAGGGAGAGAGTATTCCATAATTAGGGAGGCACTGTAGAATAAGCCCTCTCCCTGGTTACTGCATGATAGATGTCACTTGGATGTGGAAAATTTAGGAAGACATCAACTACTGACCTTCGGGTTGATATGGGAGGTGATACACCTTCAGGTTGCTTATGGGTTTCAGAATGCTAGTTATATTTTGAATTTGGCTTGGTAGGCTCGGTAGCAAACTGGCAAATTGGGTCATTATATTTCGATGCTGTTCTTAATAATTTCCTTTACTCATCTGTATATATTTTTTCAGTAATGTAACTTGATCCATTCTACCTAGTGCTGTAATCTCTGACTGCCAGTAGTTCTCTAAGGTTCTCTTGCTAAACCGATATCCTTTTAACTAGAAATATTGAGAACAGAACCTGAGATTTTCTTCATGCAAAGCATCGCGTCCTCTGCAACTTAACTACATGAACAGAGGAGGCAGCACAGCTAATTGAATTGCAGGAAAGGTATTACAGACGACAGGGATATTTTGTGATACTTTGCTATCAATACAAGAGAACCTCTTCTTCCTCTAAGTATTCCTGAGCAGGCAACATGTGCAATAATACTTTCACTAGATGTGTGAAAATATAAGTGGTAACTAATTCTACAATTCTATGATTCTAATTCTTCCAGCTGAGTCACAATTATATACAGAAAGATAACTTTGCATCAGATATTCTATTAAAAATAAAGGTAAGTTAATTGCAGACCCTATTTTAATGCAATGGTGATTCAGATCTGAATTGTGAATACAAAATACCTGTGTGTGTTTTTTGAATTTTTCTCTCTCTGTATAGGTACAGAATACTGAGTTTATTTGAGAAGAAATGAAAAAATGTATGCAGAAAGGAATCGCTGCAGTTTTTGTTAAAAAAAAATATAGTGGGGGGAAATTCATATTTCCCCCTGTGTTTTTATCACTGACTTACTGGATCTACATTTGTTGGGAAATATAACCTGGTCCTAGACAAAAATCAAGATAAATTTGGACCGGGTTATCCAGTCTTTTCTGACCACTGAGCAATAACCCTGCATTGCTTCAGATCTGACAGATTAAAATCTCAAGCATAACAAGTTTAGAATTTCAGTTTCTTTAAGATTACAGTCTTTATATACACTAACTTGGTGGAAAGCTCTGCTTAAGTTGATGGGGGTTTCTTCTGAGCAGCCATACATGGGTTTCCTCTGCAAAAAAAAAAAAAAAAATTGTCCATGGTTGTATTATTTATGTACTTATTATATTGCATTTCTTAAATGCCTTTATCAGAAGAAGACTCAAGGCAACATTTTAAAATATACAAAAAAATTACACAAAATGTAAAACAAAGCAATACCCTGCAGCGATTTATCAATATAATACTAAAACTACACACACTACGAAATTAGCATAGGCAGCACCTATACAATAATCAATCAATCAAAAGTCAAACAAAGAAGCCATCAGCACGCTACCAATTTCCCATCTCCTCTCCCCTTCCTTTGCTTTCTTATTTTATGTTTGTCAGACCATATGCCTGCAGATTTGTTTGTTTGTTTTTTAACAGTACCTAGCAAATTTAGCCGGTGTTTATTATTTATTTACAGAAATGGGAGCTTTTCCATCTCTTCCTTTGGTGATTGTTGTGCGTGGCTATCCTACTACTGAATCTTAAGGGCAAAAAGGAAACCAATAGATATGTAATAATTAAAAGTTTTGAATCATTCTGAAATGGAAAATATATTCATCTGGGGATATGGACATTTCTTACAAAAAAAAACATAAGAGGGAGAAGGACCAAGGTGACTTGTAAGGGGCTGTATGTTAAAAATGTGTTGAATTTAGATTTAAATGCTTGGTTATCATACATTTTGGCAGGCTTGGAAGAATGTTTGCCCTTAGTAAAAAGTGGCAGGTCACCACTGTCTGACCATTTTCAGAAGATTTCTAAACTCAGCCAAGAAGGATCCCTCCTGTTTGGCCCAGCTTTAGTAAAATTATACAGCAAGGAGATTTAGATTTATTTTACTAAAGCCTGGATGACAATGTTACATATCCTTAGAACACATGGGGTAGTTTTACAAACCTGCAGTCTAGCACTTGGGGCAGATTTCATTGAGAAATTCCATACCCTCCAACATTTCTCTGATGAAAATAGGAACGTCCTATTCAATAATTATAACTATTATTTTTATTATAACCCACCCATCTGACTGGGTTTCTCCAGCCACTCTGGGTGGCTTCCAGCATATATAAAAACATAATAAAATAATATACATTAAAATACTTCCCTGTACAGGACTGCCTTCAGATCGCTCAGGGGTTGCAAACCTCCATACCCTCCAACATTTCTCTGATGAAAATAGGAAGGTCCTAAGGAAAAGGATCAAATGTGAAACCGGGATGGTTTCTGTAAATCTGGTACTGTCCCTGGAAAATAGGGGCATTTGGAGGTTCTGAGCTGTGATAAATTAAAACACTACTTCAAATCTGTGACCAACCCATTAACTGGACACAAGACTTCTTGCTATGTTGCTTCCTCTTTGTTCTTATATGTTTGACAGCACCTTTCTGCTCTTGTCTTCTTCCTGCTTTCACCCCATCATTCCCTTCCCCCACTTCTTCCAGTAACTCAACAATCATTGGGAAGCTGTCTTCAACACAATAAAAGGACCTTTCACTGATGCCTCATAAATGAATTTTTCAGATATTTATAGCTCGGTAGACCTTTCCCTTCAAATCAATGTTCATTACTTTGTGACAGGCTCAGCACTGTCCCTAGCACAAAAAGACGGCCCTCTGCAATGAAGCACAAAAGGAGTGGGTCAGATAAGTGCAAGTGCAAGCTGTTACACAATCAACATGTCTCCAGATGATAAGCTGTACTGTAGGACCACGGACAAGAGAAGAAACTGTGAACAGCCTTCCCGAAGAAACGTTGATATCCAAAGCATGGCTGTGTGTTGAGTCAGAGATGCCCATCCTTACATTAGCCCTGTGCCCCACTTAGCATGCCACTGCTATCAACAAGAGCCGGAATGAGTGGGGCATGAATAGTGAAAAGTGGCAATGCACATGTTATCAGGATATCATTTCTGACTTTTGACCATCAGCTCTGGGGCTGATGGGAATTGGAGTCCTATGACATACAGAGGTCCATAGTGTTACAGTCCAGTTTATGGGCGGTTAAAGTCCTAGTGGAGGACGTTGGGACCGGGGGCAAGACGGCAGGGTGGGAGCAGGAATGGGAGTCTGGAAGCCAGGAATCAGGAAGCCAAGGGTCTGAGGGCCAGAGTGCCGAAAGTCAAGAAGCCAAGGGTCCGAGGATCAGGAAGCAAGGAGTCAAGAAGCTAAATGCAGCATGGCAGGAAGCATGTTGCTGTGGCAAAGAGCCAAAGAGAAATGCTGACCTTATATCCCTTCCCGGCTCTTGCCACCAGGTGCTGTGAGTTACCAGTCGGCCTCACCTGTGCAGCCGCGCCTTGCCTCTTCAGAACAAACGTAGGAAAGCCCCAGTCCTGCGAAGCTCTACCAGTCACAGGGCCTGGCTCCTGCACACACTCCTGACACATAGGTCCCCCATCTCTAGAGTAGGAGATATGGTCAAGGGGGAGGAGGGTCATGGCCACAGTTGTTTGGGAGCCCAGTAAAAGCAATTCTGTGTCTGGGAAAGGTTAGGTAACGCTGTATGACATCATGCCATCACATATTAGGAAGTCAAGCACATGGGTCACTGGAATCAATAAGGCATAAAATAGTACTTAGGGAAGCTACATTGTGATGTATGATGCTACCAAACATTCCTAAAAGGGGAGTGTGTTTAAAAATAAATACATTATCAAAAATAAAATAAAAAGGGATATCCTTCACTGCCAGAACCCTGGGGGAAAATGATGTTTCAGCTCAGCCCTCCATTTTGAGTCTAAGCTTTCAGACTTTCTGTTTCTGGGTGATAGTAATTTATCTTCTATTATCCAGGTTTGGTCCTTTCCACTGGTTTGGAGTAGGCCATTAGTTTTAAAGAATACCAAGAGAGGATCAGTAATGGAGCACCATCTTCTATTAGGCTAAAACCACTGGCCTAGATTACACTGAAACTGGATTACTACGATTTTGAAAGATTTTTAATGTCCACCAATATTTTTCCAGATCACAATATTGTTCCTCTTATGTTCCTCTTTACATTTATGACAATTAGACTAAACTCCTCTAAGCGGTTTACGTGAACTATTAAAATTGCCAGTGAAAACAGTTAAAAACAATGAAAAACATTTAAAAACAATTGAAATCAGCAGTAAAAAGATGAAAACACATCAGCATGTGTGTGTCTGGATAGGCTCGATAAAATTTAAACAAAAATTTAAGCAGAACCCATATTGGAACAGCTCTATGTCACCCAATAATAGTTGTAGCTGCCCTACCACCTTCCTCCATTAGTGAGTATTTTTGACTGGTTGGTATTTATTCTGGTCCAATGGGTCTAGGGTCAGTTTTGTTAGCAGCGATCATACCACTGCCTCTTACAAGGCAGCAGGGACCCACCTCTCACACAACAAAGGGTTACTGATACTCTGAACCCAATCAGACCCAAACCTCTGTGAGATTTAAGGAAACAAATGGGTCAAAAGGGCATTTGGTTTGAAATATAGTTGTGACCGCTTTTTCCACAATTACTGTCTGCAGAAGCTGAAATTGATCCCAAAGCACACCAATGACTCTGGCATTAGATACCTCATCTTGAACTACTAATCTTACACTATACGTTGTTTTCACTGTTGTTATTGTCTTCTCTCCCTCATTAATACACTCACACGGTCAATGCCTGCAGAATAATGATTAGTGCTGGGCTGCGCCTCAAAATTAATCCCTGATTGAACACTTTGAAACAGATGAAGATCTTCTGGGGGCAAGTAAGTATCAATGCTGTATTTTGACCCATCAAAAAATGATCGAACTTATGATAAGTTGGTTCAATGCCTCCTTAGTAGACCAACTTTTCATAATTAGGAGGAAAACCCAAATGTGATATGACTTAATAATGGGACAATCAGTTTCACTGCTTGTGAAATTGAATTATGGCTTTTACAAGTATAAAGTGGGGTTTTAAAAAATGAAAGCTGGATAATCTGGGGTCATAACCCAAACCAAATATATATGCCTTTCGCTCCTCTGAGATAAATGATAACAGCTAATCCTGGAGTTACCCTTTCATAGCTTATCTGTACTATGAAACTTGCCGCTCAGTCTTCAGCATAAATTAGCTCGTAGTTTCTGACAGATATTAAAACGCACTAAAGGTTCTGTCTTAATACTAGATCTGTTGTGTATTGAGTCAAAGGATTTTATATCTGTATTATTATTGTCTGTATCTGCATTAGGGTAAAGTAACTGCCTTTTGGTTCCAGAGGGTACAGCTACTATTGGTTCATTTAAGCTGCTGTATTTGGATCCTCTGTCTTATTGGTTCCCTCCAAAAGGCAGGACTGTGATTGCCTGATATTGTTCCCTCCAAAATGTATCCTTTCTTGCTAGTTCCCTGTCCCTATAAAGGTAGCTTTCCTCTCCCCCAGTCTTGAGTCTTGTTGCTTTAATAAAGAAGTGTTACTAGAGACTGTCTCCAGCATGTTATATCAGGAGAGCTGAAATCACAAACCCCACGTCACAACAACTGGCGACGAAGGTGGGATCCGGAATGCTGAGGAGCGGTTAAACGCAGCCCTGCCTCAGAGTCCGGATTGCAGCTAAGAACAAGACTCACTGGCCAGCTGAGAAGACGACCCTGCCACAGGACAATGGAGAGTCCAAGGGTATTGGAGCCCTTCCAGCCATCAGAGCCCGACACGTGGGAAGACTACGTCGAGCGCTTCGAGTTCTTCGCAGAGGCTCAAGGGATCACCGATGCCAGCAAAACAAGGGCCACATTCCTGAGCTACTGTGGGCCTGAGACCTTCAAGCTGGCCAAGGCATTGCTTGCTCCAGCGAAGCTAAGCGAGACATCTCTCAAAGATATTCTTGCCTGCCTAACAAGCCACTTGGCGCCTACTGAGACCAAGATGGCTCGGCGGATGGAGTTTCATAAGAGGCAGCAGCATGCTGGGAGTCTGTATCTGCATTTCTGGCTGAACTGCGGAAGCTCGCTCAGCACTGCGACTTCCAAAATCTGGAAGAGACTCTCCTGGATCGGTTTATCGGTGGTCTGAGCAGCAAGAAGGCCAGAAGACGCATCGTGGCTAAAGAAGAGGTTACCCTTGCTTCAGCCTTGAAGGAGGCCACCGCCATGGAGAATTATGAAAGAGAGGAGCTTGATGCCAGTCGCAAGGCCCCTAAGCCACAGATAGAAGTTGCGCATGCCATGGACGAGCTAGAGGCTACTCCGAGCCAGAGCCCAGTCCGTGGGGTCGAGTCAGTGAGTCAGGCCTGCACAGTGCACAAAGATTACCGAGGCAGGTGCCCAGGTTGTGGCGGAAACCATGAGCGGAAGAGTTGTCGTTTCCGGGATGCTATGTGCCGGACGTGCGGGAAGACAGGTCACATCGCCAGGGTCTGTAGATCGGCGGCGTTGGGAGCGACAGGAGCACCTAGACCGGAGCATCGCAGACCGCCCGCAGCAACCCATTTTCTAAAGGACTGCCACTACGTTACGGAGATCAACGGGAGGGTTGTGCAGTTCCCAGCACAAGGCAAGGCACACGTCAAGGTGAAGATTGAGGGTCAGCAGTGCGACATGGAGGTGGACTCCGGATCTGGATTCACTATCGTGTCGGACCAGACCGCGAGGACATTCTTCCCCAGGGGTAAGTTGCCCCTCTGGAACCCTTCCCGGCAACCTTGCAGTCATACTCAGCGGGCCGCATCCATGTTATGGGAATGTGTGCCGTGAGAGTACAGTTCCGGGACAAACAGGCTGTACTCAAACTGGTGATTGCGAAGGGCAGTCGCCCCAGTCTCCTGGGCACTGACTGGTTCCCCGCCCTGGGACTGAGTATATCAGGGCTTAATTCAATCCAAACCTGCCCTGAGATGAGCGAGGTATTATGCAAAGAATTTGCTGGTCTCTTTAATGGAAAACTGGGTTGTTATAAAGGGCCCCCAGTTGACTTCGAGTTGGACCCTGGGGTGGCCCCAATCCGACTCAAACCAAGGCGAGTGCCATTTGCACTGCAACCCAAGATCGAAGCAGAGCTGGATAAATTGGTCAAGCAGGGAGTTCTCTCACCCGTGGACTCTGCTAAGTGGGAGACTCCAATCGTCACGCCCTTAAAGCAAATGGGAAGTCAGGATCTGTGCAGATTACAAATGTACTATCAATAAGGCACTCAGGGAAACTCATACCCCATTCCAGTCGTATCACATCTGTTGGCTAAACTGGCTGGGGGCAAGGTGTTCGCCAAAATTGACCTGGCACAAGCTTACCAACAGCTGCCAGTAACCCCACAATCAGCGGAAGCACAGACTATTGTCACACATAAAGGGGCGTTCAGAGTTAACAGATTACAATTTGGAGTTTGTGTGGCCCCAGGGATTTTTCAAGGGCTCATGGAACACCTGTTAAGAGGTCTGCCGGGGTCTTGCCATTTTTTGATGACGTTTTGATTGCTGGAAAAGACCCACAGGAACTGGTTGCGCGTGTTCGTGCAGTGTTGCTCAAGTTCAAGGAGGTGGGGTTGCAACTGAAAAAGGAAAAATGCAGTTTTGGGGTACCAACTGTGGATTTCTTGGGGTTTAAAATTGATGCATCAGGCATCCACCCCACAGATGCTAAGATTAAGGCCATCATCGAGGCTCCACGACCACAGAACAAGACGGAGTTGCAGTCATTCCTGGGACTTATTAACTTTTATCATTCGTTCTTACCCCAGAAAGCTTCGGTAGCTGAACCATTACATAGACTGTTGCAGAAAAGACTGTGTGGCGATGGGGGCAGGGGCAGCAGAAGGCTTTTGACTCCTTGCGAGGAATGCTGAGTAGCAGGAGTGTCCTTGCTCATTATGACGAGTCAAAGCCTCTGGTCCTGGCATGTGATGCCTCTCAATACGGCCTGGGGGCGGTGCTAAGTCATAGGGAACCGGATGGGTCGGAAAAGCCCATCTCTTTCTATTCCCGTACGTTGTCGCCCACGGAGCGCAACTATGCTCAAATTGACAAAGAGGCGCTTGCAATTGTGGCAGGAATCAAAAGTTCCATGATTATGTGTACGGTCGCCATTTCTACATTGAAACGGACCACAAGCCACTGTTAGGGTTGTTCAACCCGAACAAACAAACGCCACAAATTCTCTCCCCCAGAATGTTACGTTGGTCTATGTTCCTGAACGGGTTCCAGTACACCTTGACCCATGTGCCGGGGAAACGGTTGTGCCACGCGGATGCGCTGAGTCGCTTGCCCCTTCCTGGCGGGAGCACTGAGGATCCTGCTCCAGCGGAGCACATAATGATGCTGGAAACACTTCCGGGGGCTCCTGTTACGGCTACTGATATAGCTGAGAAAACGAGGAAAGATGCTGTTCTCTCCCGTGTGCTCACTTGGGTGGGGAGGGGGGTGGCCAGGTGGTCCGCATGAAGACAAATTCAGGCCTTATGCGACTAGGCAGCACGAGTTGTCCATGCATAAGGGTTGTCTCCTGTGGGGAGATAGGGTCATCATCCCAGCACCCCTGAGAAACAGGGTTCTTGAGACGCTTCACATGGGACACCCGGGAATGGTCAGGATGAAGTCGCTAGCCCGATGTTATGTGTGGTGGCCTGGAATGGACCAGAACATAGAACAATGGGTACGAACATGCAAGGCATGCCAAGAGGTGCGGCCAGAAGTGGCCAGAGCACCAGTCCACTGGTGGGAGCAGTCCAGATCTCCCTGGAGCCGGCTGCACTTAGATTTTGCTGGGCCATTCCAAGGAAAGGTCTTTTTGGTTATCGTTGATGCATATTCCAAATGGTTAGAAGTGGCGATGGTCCCTAGCATGGCATCAGCTGCCGTCATCAAAGTGTTGAGGCAGCTGTTTGCAACCCACGGGTTACCTGAGACCATTGTATCAGATAATGGGGCAGCTTTTGTATCCCAAGAATTCAGGGCATTCTTGGCTGATAACTTCATAAGAGGGGTCACATCCGCGCCCTTTCACCCATCCTCCAATGGGCAGGCTGAGCGCATGGTAAGAACAGCCAAAGAATCCATTGCGCGCTTAATGGAGGGTAACTGGTCAGCTCGCATCGCGCGAATGTTATTTTTGCAGCATGCGACGCCGTGTACCGCAACGGGCAAGTCGCCAGCTGAGCTGCTCTTGGGTAGGAGACTGGTAACGGTGCTGGATTATGTCCACCCGGATAAAATGCCAAACCATAATTCAAGAGCAACCCCCCAGGCTGAGACTGACACAACAAGGTATCTCGCCCCTGAAGATCTGGTCTGGGTGAGGAACTATTCACGAGGTTCGCGGTGGGTGGCTGGTGTGGTCACCCGGGCTAGTGGACCTGTGTCCTATTATGTGACCTTGGAAAATGGGCAAGTGTGGAAGAGACATATAGATCAGCTGAGGCGCCGGGCGCTCAGCAGGGAGGAGCCAGATAATTCATCCCAGGCTAACGACGCAGAGCCGCAAGACCAGAGTGAAAATGGCCCAGAGGTGCAATCACCAGGGGCTTTAACAAATGAACCAGGGTCTGCTAGTCCTCACGATGACGAGGTGCAGATAGGGGACCCTGAGATGTCGGGGACTCCATCTGTTCCTGACGAAACCCTTAGAGCAGCCCCTCTACCACAGGTAACACCTAATCCAGAACCTGCAACACCTGTTGTCAGGAGATCAAGTAGAAGTTGTAGGCCCCCAGTACCTGAGAGATTACGTCTGCTGTGCTCACTAGGGGGGAAGGGGTGTTGTGTATTGAGTCAAAGGATTTTATATCTGTATTATTATTGTCTGTATCTGCATTAGGGTAAAGTAACTGCCTTTTGGTTCCAGAGGGTACAGCTACTATTGGTTCATTTAAGCTGCTGTATTTGGATCCTCTGTCTTATTGGTTCCCTCCAAAAGGCAGGACTGTGATTGCCTGATATTGTTCCCTCCAAAATGTATCCTTTCTTGCTAGTTCCCTGTCCCTATAAAGGTAGCTTTCCTCTCCCCCAGTCTTGAGTCTTGTTGCTTTAATAAAGAAGTGTTACTAGAGACTGTCTCCAGCATGTTATATCAGGAGAGCTGAAATCACAAACCCCACGTCACAACAAGATCAATCAGTGTTCAGTGATCACAACAATTTGTACAATTGCCGATTAACAATCTAATGAACACCATGGATGCAAATTATAAAATCCTGCAACTCTAGAGAAAGCAAATTACAGTGGTACCTCAGCTTAAGCACTTAATTCATTCCAGAAGTCTGTTCTTAACCTGAAACTGTTCTTAACCTGAAGCACCACTTTAGCTAATGGGGCCTCCTGCTGCTGCCGCGCCGCCAGAGCACAATTTCTGTTCTCATCCTGAAGCAAAGTTCTTAACCTATTTCTGGGTTAGCGGAGTCTGTAACCTGAAGCGTATGTAACCCGAGGTACCACTGTAAAGGCAAAGTTAATATTCTTGAGTACAATACTAAATGACAAACTTTTCTTTTTAAAGAAAAAAGAAAGTAATCTTGACAGCCTTATAAGACTGCATTTGAGCCGCTCAACCTTATTTCCTGATGTTGGCTATTGAATGGTACGAGAAAGATGCCCTGCATAAGTTCAGACCCTATTTATGTCAAATTGTCCTGCATTGTCCAGACTCGGAATCTGGACTGGATCACAAGCATCAGTCTGAAATGAGCCAAGAATCATGGGGAAAGCAAACTCAGGGTTGATGGGAAGGATGCAATTCTTTGGCCCCAGGGAGGGTTGCCAAAGAGCCCTAGGGAATATATTGGCGCTTCCTCAACAGAGGGGGAGATTCAACGTTGGGTTTCCCTTCTCTCTGCCACTGCAATATCTGTGGCCATTAATTCCCAAACCATCCCATTGCCCTGACATGCCTTCAAACTGGTTTAAGTCTCTCCCTCCTCTTTCCCTCCCATTATTTCAAAAAAGAACCTACCAACTTCAGAATGAATGGAAGACCTTCACCCTGTCAGAGCAAGTCCAGTAAGATGTTGGATGGGTGGTTTAACAGCCTTCAGGTTCCTCCACCATCAGCAGTCTTCAGCAGTCTTGCACCCTAATAGTGTGTTTAAGTGTCCAAACCAATTGTGTTCTTTTCTCCACGTATTAAGTAACTCGGATGCCGTAAGGAAGTTATTGAAACATTAGGAGGGCTAATGTGAGTTGGAATATTTTTAGTCATTCCTCGGGATATTGGCAACGCTAGATGCACTGAAAGGAACCTTGGAAAGAAAACTAATTTTAATGTGATTTTATAATTTACTCCCACAACCTTTAGAGGAGATTCAAGACATTCTAATTCTTTCTGCCTTAGAGCATGTTCATATTTTTTTTACTTAGTAAATTCTTTGAAAATCCCCAACGCACTTCCTAAATTTCAGACTTAATTGCATGGCTGATATGATAGATGGCAAAATTTCAACATTTCTGATATACTATGTAGTATTTATTATAGACTGCTATAAATTCCCTGCAGTGAAAATCTCTCTATTCTATTAAAAGACACACACCACCATTGCTTTGGCATCCTACTTATAATAAAAAAAAATTCCATTACTGATTTTTAATATATTTTGATGTTGACTGATATATTCAAATATGTGTTAAACATGTATTTTACAATTATGTGTTGTTTCTTTATTTAACTTATTCAAATAAGTGTTGGAAATGTAAATAGAAAGAAGGTTCTTTTTACCATATGTGGGTAAAAAGGTAAGGTTAAAGCTTACTGGGAAATGATATATAACGAATTGAAAACTCTTATAAAACTGTGGGTTATTACACTAATCCTTACTTTCCCAGTTCCTTAAATTTATTTTTAATATTTTCTGCATATCCTGATTAACGTAATTTGTTCATTTATTCATCTGATTTAAATATATACTCTTATAAAACTGTGGGTTATTACACAGCAAAGGAAGAATGGATGCCAAAACGTATGGCATATGCAGAAATGACTAAACATACTGGAAAAATAAGAAATCAAGATAACAAACTTTTTATAAAAGAATGGAAATGGTTTATTGCATATTTACAAACAAAGTCTAAACAGATAAAAACGTTGGCAGGATTAGTGTAATAACCCACAGTTTAAAATGTTAAAATGACTGTAAAATTATTGAAATGTATAAAACTGAAAATCGCAAATAAAATATAAAAAACAAGTATGTGTTATACTGTAGGCAACCCTGCTTACTTCACTCACCAACCCCACCTGCCTTCACCAGCTAAGCCAAACATCCCCTTCCTTTACTACTCACTAAAGCCATCTCTCCCTCAGAGTTTTCCCAAACTACCCCTGCCACACACAACCTTAGACCTTGTCAAACCTCTGCAACTCAATTGGGCCATTTGCCTGGGTGAGCCATGCACTTGTTGGTCCAGACCACCTACCTGATTGCTGGCCTGGGCACCTGTCTGTCCACTTGCCCTGCTAAGTGCTCTCAGCATGCCTCAACCTCAATTTCCATTGCCTAAGACAGGGATGGGGAACCTATATCCTTCCATATGTTGCTGGACAACAGCTCCTATCAGCCCCAGCCAGTGCAGTTGTTGGTCAGATGTGATGGTAGCTGTTGTCCAACAGCATCTGGAGGGCTACAAATTCCCTGTCCTAAGGTTACATTAAAGGTAAAGGGACCCCTGACCATTAGGTCCAGTCGTGGCCGACTCTGGGGTTGCGGCGCTCATCTCGCTTTATTGGCCGAGGGAGCCGGCGTACAGCTTCCGGGTCATGTGGCCAGCATGACTAAGCCGCTTCTGGCGAACCAGAGCAGCACACAGAAACGCCGTTTTTTACCTTCCCTCTGGAGCGGTACCTATTTATCTACTTGTACTTTGACATGCTTTCAAACTGCTAGGTTGGCAGGAGCAGGGACTGAGCAGTGGGAGCTCACCCTGTCGCAGGGATTCGAACCGCCGACCTTCTGATCGGCAAGTCCTAGGCTCTGTGGTTTAACCCACAGCGCCACCTGCGTCCCTAAAAGGCTACATTAGCCAATTTCATAAACCTGTTTCCCTTGTCATCGAACCTCTCTTCCAGCTTTCAAAAACAATATATAACTGCTCAAATTGGAGACAGAGTGTGTATACATGAATCATCTGTTCCACCTTGACCTTTCTACCTTGAGCAGGAAGGACTGAAAGAGTCTAATAAGCACATTGAGCTGATTGGAAACCACAGTAACCCAGAATTCCCAGTTCCGGGGAGACTTCTAAGCAGATTCAGCCAAATATGCTTAGAACCTCTCCTAGGCCTTTCCACTCAATCCAGGAAGGTCATGGTGGATCATAAATTTCTGGCAAACATGGGGATACTGTAACAGTTCTGGCATGCATCTGCCCAGCCAAGTTTCAGCCCTCGCACCTTCTTTTTGAGGCCTAATATGGGCTATTTATTTTGTTGTAATGCATATGAAAAGGCTATTTTGAACAGCTTATACAATGTTTTAAAACCACCACCTACCAAATGCTTTAAATGCCCCACCTATCGACCAGTTTCTCACACTTAACCTCACAGTAGGTCTCATTTAACTTAGTAGGATTTACCTCTGAGTAGACACACCTAGGATTGGGCTGTTAATATTCTCATTTTAATTAGTTTCCTACCTGTGCAAAATTTCAGATGGGATTTAAAGTGGAAAAGGCTATTTTAAATTCATTCTCCATCATTATCACAAAATGTATAAGCAGGGATTAGCAATGAATTTAATACCAAAAGCACAAAGAGCATCAGCAGTTGTAGATTAACATGGAATTCTATCAAAAAGAAGGAGGTCAATGAAGTTTTTTCCCCCTTCTTTGAAAGAAACTCAGAAATTTTCTCTGCCCCAAGGATATGACCTTTTGTTTGGTAGGTTAGTTTTTTGCTTATCACTGTTTAGCAATGGTTTAGCATGTTCATTTGTACAAAAGTGAGAAAAAGTCTGTTTAGAGGAACCCAGAAGAGTAGGACTTCAGTTTGCAATATTTCTCATAAGTCCCACTGATTCTGTCTACTACTGACTGGTGCTGCATGTCAGAAACTATCCCTGAAGGGCCAAACTCTTTCTAAATATGTTGATTCCTCTTCCTCCTTCCTCTCTTGATGACAGATACGTCAAAAGAGTTGGAGGAACATCAGGACTTGTAATAGCAGTCAGGAGAATGTGGGCAGGTGCAACACCTTATATTATTTCAGTCCTAGAATGGGAGGAACTTTATCTTCTGATATTCTGCCTCTCGTGGAAAAACACACCATACTTCTTTCTCTAGAATGCCAGCACATTTCTTGGAGATAGTTAAAACCTGCATATTATAAAGCCCTGAGGAAAACCCAAGGCACAAGAGCATTTCCCCTGCAAAGTCCAGATGAAAGATGACTTGCTTGTAAGGAGGGGAGACATGTTGCAGATATTAATATCATGCAGTTTGAAGCAACTGGAAGCATAAGAACTGACTCCTTTTGGAATAAATAATTGCCCAGACCCATAAAAATATTATGCAAACTTTTACTGGCAGAACTCTTTAAAATGAAATATAAGCATCAAATATATACACAATATATTGTGCTGTCCAGCACAGGCTCAGCACCTTACAAAATATGAATTAATCCAAACAGACCGAAAAACAAAGGTCTCTCTCCCTCTCTCCACAGTTTGCATTCCAGCCTCCAGGCAGTTTACACTCCCTTCAGGAGAGCTTCTTTTTACAACTTCACTCCACTGAGTTTGGGAGAAAAGACTCGAAGGCAACTCCCTTCAAAATGGAGATTTTGCAACCCAATACTTCTCACATGATCTAAGGCTACACTTCTCACATGTTACCTACCAGAGAAACAGCAATCAGTTATTTAATCATTAACTTAGCAAGAGCTCAAAGTGCTCTCCCTGGCTTTAATATGGCCCTCTGGAAAAGCCCCATGTTAAACTTTTTCACCAATACACATTTAGCTGTTTTTCATTTCTGTGTCAATTAAACCATTATACTTAACAAGGGGGAAAGGAAACCAGGAACAAAAAGGCC